AAGTTGTCTTAAGGGTTAGTAGGCCGCGTCGATCAAGATCAAGTAGTAGTTTTAACATAATAGCATTTTAGAGAATTAGATAAATTAGCATAAAGATACTCTTAACATAATGTGATATAGTCTATTTTAAATTAGAATCGTGCGATTTTTCATAAAAGATCTCATACCTTTAAGAGTGTCTCTATATACACCTTACGTATGATTTCCAAAATCTCAATTATCAATGTGAATTTTATTTGCACGCCCAACAATCTCTCCCTTGTACTAATTAAGTTTCATGTGACCCGTAACAATGATCTACATGTCGCTCCTTGAAATGAGTTCTATGTGACACATTACCATGATCTATGAGACAATCAATTTTCTAGATTTATTATGTAATATTTTTAATTTATGAGTTTTGATCACAATTATTTTGTTTACTGAATTCTGAATATATTATTTATACATATCAAATGACTTTTTTAACTTAAATACGAAGTTTAAGTCAAAATTACTCAATTCTGCCAAATCGCCATAACTAAAAAAGTTGGTCTACCCTATGTGTCACTCACATAACTGATGAGCATTTATGTCAATTGAAGCCCTGATCTAACTTTTATAGTGTTGTGACTTGTGCATCTCCTAGCTAGCTACTTTTGGCATAGTAAAAATAGTAAATCGAGTTTTATGTCATCATTTTGTCGTCTCTATACACGTCTCATAAAATCATTACCTCTAATACGATAATTTGGGCTAAGCCAATCCAAAAAATATTTTATGGTAACACTCATTTTAGACAAGCTTACATAATTTTCTCCAAAAATCTCACTCATTGAAAATATCCCTACATCTAACTAATAATATGTAACTTCTCATTATCCTTCAACTAACCTATATGAGATTCTATACACATAACCAACAAATAAAAAGTTTTGTAAAATTTTGCTCGTAAAATGAGAAAATATGCGTGAAAAAATTGGTGGGACTATATGTAATGCTTCCCTAACCCATTACAGAGGTCATCATATAATTTCCTAAGAAAAAATTTCAAATTGTTCTTAAATAGCATTCCTGGAATGCGTTTTATTCATTGTTAGTGATCATCAATGCAGCTCTTTGTTTTCTTCCTTAATAGCATTAACTAAACTAGTAAATAACACACGTTTTCTATCATTACACAACAACGCCACTTTATTGCATATATTTTCACTCCTTTATTAATTTAATTATTCTCACATAAATACACATATCTCAAGCATGGGCTAACCCACAAGAAAAACGTGGAAAGTCAGGTAATTCCTAAATTTTGACTCGTTAATGTGAAAATATTAATTGAAAAATTGCGGGACTATACATAATGCATCCACAACTCATTATAGAGGTCCTCATATAGTTTTTTCAGGAAAAAAAATTGAATGCCCAGCGCCAGATCAATGAGTTAATACACACGAAATCGGCGAAAGTTGGGTAATTTCTAAAATTTTACTTGTAAATGAGAAAAAATGTGTGAAAAAAAGGTGGGACTGTATGTAATGCTTCCCCGACTCATTACAGAGGTCCTCATAAAGTTTTCTCAGAAAAAAATTCAAATTGTTCATAAATTGCATTCGTGGAATGCGTTTTATTCATTGTTAGTGATCTTCAATGCAACTCTTGGTTTTCTCCCTTAATGTCATTAACTAAACTAGTAAATAACACACATTTTCTATCATTACACAACAACACCACTTTATTGCATTTATTTTCACTACTTTATTAATTTAATTATTCTCACATAAATACACATATCTCAAGCATGGGCTACCATAAGAGAAAAACGGTGAAAGTCAGGTAATTCCTCAAATTTATCTCGTAAATGTAAAAATATTCGTGAAAAAAATGCGGGACTATACGTAATGCATCCCCAACTCATTACAGAGGTGCTCGTATAGTTTTTTCAAAAAAAAAATTGGGTGCCCAAAAAGTGTCTAATTCATGGGCTAATACACACGAAATTGGAGAAAGTCGGATAATTTCTAAAATTTCGCTCGTAAATGAGAAAATATGTGTGATAAAAATGGCGGGACTGTATGTAATGCTTCCCCAACTCCTTACAGAGGTCATCATAAAGTTTTCTTTCCAAAAAAATTCAAATTGTTCATAAATCGCATTCGTCAATGCGATTAATTCATTGCTAGTGATAATCAATGCAGCTCTTTGTTTTTTCCCTTAATGTCATTAACTAAACTAGTAAATAACAGACGTTTTCTATCATTACACAACAACACCACTTTGTTGCATTTATTTTCACTATTTTATTAATTTAATTATTCTCACATTAATACACATATCTCAACCATGGGCTAGCACAGAAGAAAAACGATGAAAGTTGGGTAATTCCTAAAATATGGCTTGTAAATGCGAAAATATTAATGAAAAAAACTACGGGACTATACGTAATGCATCCCCAACTCCTTATAGAGGTCCTCATACAGTTTTTTCAGAAAAATTTCTCGGGTGCCCAAAAGGCATTAGATCCATTGGCTAATTAACACACGAAATCGGTAAAAATCGGGTAATTCCTATAATTTTGCTTCTAAATGAGAAAATATGCATGACAAAAATGGTGGGACTATATGTAATGCTTCCCCAACTCATTAGGCGGTCCTCATATAGTTTTCTCAGAAAAAATTCAAATTGTTCATAAATCGCATTGATGGAATGCGTTTTATTCATTGTTAGTGATCATCAATGCAGCTCTTTGTTTTTTCCCTTAATAGCATTATCTAAACTAGGAAATAACAGACGTTTTCTATCATTACACAACAACTCCACTTTATTGCATGTATTTTCACTACTTTATTACTTTAATTATTCTCACATAAATACACATATCTCAAGCATAGGCTAACACACAAGAAAAACGGCGAAAATTGGGTGATTCCTAAAATTTGGCTCGTAATGCGAAAATATTAATGAAAAAACTGCAAGACTATACGTAATGCATCCCTAACTTATTTCAGGGGTCCTCATATAGTTTTTTCAGGAAAAAATTTTGGGTGCCTAAAAGGCGCTAGATAAATGGGCTAATACACTCGTAATCGTCGAAAGTCCGGTAATTCATAAAATTTTTGCTTCTAAATGAGAAATTATGAGTGAAAAAAATGGTGGGATCATATGTAATGCTTCTCCAACTTATTACGGAGGTCCTTATATACTTTTCTCAGAAAAAATTGAAATTGTTCATAAATCGCATTCTTGAAATGCGTTTGATTCATTGATAGTGATCATCAATGCAACTCTTTGTTTTCTCCCTTAATAACATTAACTAAACTAGTAAATAACAAACATTTTCTATATATCATTACACAACAACACCACGTTATTGCATATATTTTCACTACTTTGTTAATTCAATTATTCTCACATAAATATACATATCTCAAGCATGGGCTAACACACAAGAAAAATGGTGAAAGTCGAGTAATTCCTAATATTTGATTCATAAATGCAAAAATATAAATGAAAAAATCTTCAATACTATACGTAATGTATCCTCAACTCATTACAGAGATCCTCATATAGTTTTCTCAGGAAAAAAATTTGGGTGCCCAAAAGGCGTCAGATCCATGGGCTAATACACACGAAATTGGCGAAAGTCGGGTAATTCCTAAAATTTTGCTCCTAAATGAGAAAATATGCATGAAAAAAATAATTTATTCCTATTAGATATGAAATAGCTCTTTATAGCCTCTATGGCAACTTCTCTAGGACTATATGTAATGCTTGACCCAACTCATAACGGAGGTCCTCATATAGTTTTCTCCGTAAAAACTTCAAATTGTTCATAATCGTGGAATGTGTTTTATTCATTGTTAGTGATATTCAATGCAACTCTTTGTTTTCTCCCTTAATCGCATTAACTTAATTAGTAAATAACATACGCTTTCTATCATTACACAACAACTCCACTTTATTGCATATATTTCCACTACTTTATTATTTTAATTATTCTCACATAAAGCATGGGCTAACACACAAGAAAACCAGCGAAAGTGGGGTAATTCCTAAAATTTTGCTAGTAAGTGCGAAAATATTAATGAAAAAAACTGTGGGACTATATGTAATGCATCCCCAACCCATACAAAAGTCCTCATATTGTTTTTTCAGAAAAATGTTCTGGGTACCCAAAAGGCGTCAAATTCATGGCCTAATACACACGATATTGGCGAAAGTCGGGTAATTTCTAAAATTTTGCTCGTAAATGAGAAAATATGTGTGAAAAAAATGGCGGGACTATATGTAATGATTCTCCAACTCATTACAGAGGTCCTCATATAGTTTTCTCAGAAAAAAATTCAAATTGTTCATAAATTGCATTCGTGGAATGCGTTTTATTCTTTGATAGTGATCATCAATACTGCTCTTTATTTTCTCCCTTAATAGTATTAACTAAACCAATAAATAACAGACATTTTCTATCATTACACAATAACTCCACTTTATTGCATATATTTCCACTACTTTATTAATTTAATTACTCACATAAATACACATATCTCAAGCATGGGCTAACACACAAGAAAAACGGTGAAAGTCGGGTAATTCCTAAAATTTGGCTCGTAAATACAAAAATATTAATATAAAAAACTGCGAGACTATACGTAATACATTCCAATTCATTACAGAGGTCCTCGTTTTTTTCAGAAAAAATTTCTGGGTGCCCAATAAAAGAGAAAAATATTTAAAATGTAATTATTTATTATTTTGAATGGCATACAGCTAGCTAGTTTGTTGTTTCCTTAGTCACCCATTATAGCTAACATTGTCCACAAAAAACAACAATATTTTCTTACATTTTTAATGCACATCCAATTGTATGTCCACATTTCATCATTAAATAAATGGAGGAATTCCAGGATTTTAATTTGTTACAGAAGGTTATGAATAAATTTGTGAAGTGTTGCAAGCAATAATGAAATTCTTCCAACATATTTTTAAAATCTTAATTTATAAGAAACATGACTTGCAATATTAAATTGAATGAAAAAGAATCATTCAATTTGCATTAACATCAAATGCAACAGCAGTACAACATTATTAAGAAAAAATAACTATGCATTTACACTCAATAGATCTTCAAATTTTTCATAGATCAACATTATATCCAACTTGATTTTCACTGTTCATACATGTAAACCTTAGATATGTAAATCTGGAGAACCATTTCATAGTTATTAGCTTTTTGGAGATTTCAAGATTGTGTGTTTCAGGAAGATCAACAGCTCAACAAAAAGGAAGTTCCATTACTACTATCATCCCACATTAACTACTTTCTATCTACCGGTAAGTTGGTTGGCTATGAAGGTTGACCATAGCAATAGTCCAAAGAATTCACCACGGTCAACAACTCGAACAATGAGATTACACATACTGCTTTAGCATGCTTCAAAAGTACGTCAGCCAGCAAGTGGATTAGCATGAATGGTCACCCGGTTGAGTCTGATCTCGGCAAGGGGTTTATCACCTGGTCCTGTTGGAGTCTGCAAAATTTAGAAAAGAAGTGACTTAGGTGATAGCCAACTAAATGACACTACTGTAAAGGGTCTTGTAGATCAACATATATACTGAAAACAGAATGTCATGCTATAAAGTCAATATCTCTGTCTGTTTTATAAGTAATAATGCTGAATAAGATCCAAGAATCACCAATGAGCATAGCTGCTAGAAAACGGTAGATTACTCTGCATTCCAAAATGTGCGAGCATCAGTCCGGCCATACCTTTTCCATGAGATCGAGAACCTCAAATCCATGTATCACTTTCCCGAAGATGGTGTACAATCCATTGAGATGTGGTTGCTTGGCATACGTAATGAAAAACTGGCTCCCATTGGTATTAGGGCCACTGTTGGCCATTGCCAACATCCCTCTTGCATTGTGCTGGATGGAATGCAAAACGCACAAGATTCAGAAAATTAAAAAGAGGCAGTCACTGACAGTTAAGAGTGAAAGAAGACAAATCCAACATGCTAGACATAATGCATCATCGACATAGTGTAGTGCATGTATAATCAGATCCATATTGACTAGTTTGGAATCGATTTAATCAAAGCAAGAGACCCCCATGAAGCAATTGAGGTGCCAAACGATTGAAAACAAGAATAAGGGAAAGAAAAAATCAGAACGTTCTTTCTTTTTAGAAATAAGAAATTTTAGTAATGGCATCACGTAGATGCAAAGAAATAACAAAAAAGTGATTACAAAAGATGATGTTAGCTCCAATGCAAGTGAGCCAAATTAATTCTGGGAGCTAACAAAAAAAAACTCGGGGAAAGGTAACTATAGAGTAACAAAAGACATCTAACCTTGAGTGCATGATTTGTGAAACTACAAAATATCATTAATCAGACACCAAAGTTCTTATTTAGTGTTTTAACAACAGAATATCATCATTAAATTACCATGAAACAAGCACATTTTGCACTTGGAAAGCTAAACAAACTTTTGTAAAAGGTTAACAGAGGCTACAGCCCATATTACAGAATCTCCTAGGTCTATGGGATCACCAATAACAATGTTCTATATCAAGAACAGATCAAACTTGATACTGTAAAAGGATGATTTAGGAAGTTGCTGAATATATTAGACATATATCCATAAGAACAAATGTTGCAACAAGTACCTTGAGAGACTCCCTTATCTCGTCATTGAACTTTTTTCCCCAAATACTTGTCCCACCTTTCCCTGTACCTGTTGGGTCACCACCTTGGATCATGAAACCCTTTATGTTTCTATGAAATATGGTCCCATCATAATAATCACTTGAGCATAACGCCAAGAAATTCTGCAACCAAAGGGCACTTAACGTTACTACCAATGATATCTCAATCGTCCAATTAAAACAAACACCAAATATTACTAGTTTCACCACTCAACCTAATTAAAAAATGACTGCTTCCAGATAAAAATGGAACGAAGTATAAACCAAAAAAAAATTAATAATTCTGCAAGCAAACATGGCTTTAAAGGAGTAAGCAAAATATCATGATACGAGAGGACTTTCAAGTTTCAAGGAGAATAATAAGTCTACTTATACCATGAAGCTTATGCTTTTTTCGGTTATGAAATAATGTTTACCGCTTCATAAGTCCCTCTATGTACCCAAGCATATGGATTAGGAATTGGAAAAATATTACTTCATGCACTTCGTCGCATGGGATTGAACATAGGTGTTATACAATGGTACACATCATACGCGAGAAATTTGAATTACAAGTTTTTATGTACCTGAATGTAGCATAGGCCTATGGATTAGGAAATAGAAATACTGTATCAGACACTAGGTACTGGGTAGTATGTAAATGAATATAAGTGATGTGCAACAGTAAATATATTAGAAATGAGTAACTCAATGTTTTAGACGATTTTGATGTAGTTCAATAGATCTCAACAAAGTCATACCGATATCCTAGCTGTTGAGACAGGAACATTAATGTGAGAAAACCCGGTAATAGATTGATTATAGAGATATCCTTATCAAAAAATGATTGATTACAGAAATATATAATTTTTTATTTTTTTTTTATGACAAGGGAAACCCGCAGCCGCTACCCTTTGGGTGCGCACAGGGTAAAACCCCCACTCCTATGCAATAGCTCGCAAACCACATAGGAGAGGTAACCCGCACTAGGCAAGCCCGGTGCGACGAGCTCGACCCAGAAGGCAAACCCCTTGCTTTCGCTGGCAAGGGGTTTCGAACTTGAGACCTCCAACATGGAAGTCCCAAGCCCAAACCACTGGGCCACCCCGAAATATATAATTTTTGTAACTTTCTGCTATAATGGTGACATTAAAAAAAATAAAAATTGAAAAGCCAATCACGCTAGATAGATCCATATGCAGAATATACACCATCCAATAAGAGCAAACAAATTTCTCTGTGCCTGCATGGGTGTGGGTGTGTATCACAGATATATCAATCAAGTAAGCATATGCTGCGGGCATCTGATCTAGGCCAGACAAAGAAGTAATCATCATTAGTTGCCTATGTTCCATCATGATTTGTTTCAACTAACTACTATAAAAAAATGTTGTTTCAATTAGTTGAGGTAAGCAAGTTCAGAAATGTGGCTATGATGTTTGTTATTTAATGCTTATGGCATTTTCTCGATTGTAACCTCTCATGTTGAAGATAATATGATCTGTCACTTTGATTTGTGAGTTTACAATCATGGTCTATTTCTATTTTTTATAGACTGATGGAAGGAAGCACTTTTCTTTGTCTTGCGATGAAAATTTATAGACATACAAGAAGAAATGGTTTAGGATAGGGATGCCTTGGCTAAGGACCTAGGTCACCTTAGCAATTGTTTGGGGTTAAGCAGCCAGAAGGATTAAATGGATATGCACTTGAAATTCATATTAGGACTAACCTCAAGGCAATGATAAGGCTAATTTGGCAGAAACTCATACTTCAAGTTGTTACACCTACTGTTTTTGAAAGCTAATGCTTTGTCTCTTAAACCGATGAATCAATGTGACGTAACGGGCTATCACCTCATTGATGAAGTGATACAGTTTAGAGGCGTGTGCGCTTCAAATAATGGTACACGGAGTGATCTCAAGGGTAAACAGTCCATCCTTTGAATCTTAACTTCGAGGAGTTTGGATTAATATCTACATCATAGCAGTATATTAAGTGTTGAAATTAGTTGTTTAATTGAAATTTTATAATTATATATACAAATTCATATATGTTTGGTATCTTTAATTTTTCATAAATTATGCGCTTCACCCCTTGCTTTTCGCCTCAAGCCCATGGATTTCGTCTCTTTTTGAGCTTTTAGCTTTTAAAACCCTGGTCATTACAACCTTTTTAGAGTACAAATGAAGGTGTATATCTTTACAACCTTCCTTGGAGCCTGGAGTGCAAAGATCTCATTACTAATTATTTTGCCCTCCTTTTACCCCAAATGAGAAAAACCAAAGGTCTAAATCAATTCTTTGCCAAGCACCATAAATAGAAGTTTTAGCATGTGAATGAGTCATCCTTGAAAAGTCTGATTACAAGGGTTTTCTTAACAAAACTTTACAAGAGCCAACCCCAACGTGTTTGGGATTGAGATGTAGCTGTTGGTTGGATAAATATTTATAAGGGTCTCTCCCACCTTATGTTCTTTATAGTATCTCCTACAATTTGCAATCATCATGAGATAACTGTTTGTTCTTCTGTACAGATTCTATCCTCAAACCCAAAAGAAAGAAAAGATTTCAGTTTCTATTGATTGCTTTAAACATTTATTAGAAAAGGAACTTTCAACAGGACCATTTTTCTAAATAGCTGAGAAAAAAACCCAACTTGTTTGGGATTGAGATGTAGTTGTTGGTTGGATAAAGATTTACAAGGGCCTTTCCACCTTATGTTCTTTATAAGTATCTTGTTTTTCTGTTCAGATTCTATCCTCAAACCCAAAAGAAGAAAAGATTCCAGTTTCTATTGATTGCTTCAAACATTTATTAGAAAAGGAACTTTCAATTAGATGAGTATTGAGTAACAATGAAAATATCAACAGGACCATTTTTCTCAATTCCCGAGAAAACAATTATGCTTGTTTAACGAAAAGGAGATCTTGAGTAGAACACTTCTTTTTTCTGGAAAGTTGAATTAGAATACCAACCCATCCTGCTCTAACACAAACAATTTGAATTTGCAATTTAATAAATTCCCCAAACTCAGCTGCTTATTTGAAATGACATCATGTTTTCTTCCTCTTTTTTTTTCTTTTGGTTATTTGAGGTAAGATCATTGCATCCACTGTAACTATATCTTTTTATGGCTGCTCCAGAAAACTGTTAGCCTACAGAGGTCAGATACACATACTCCTTGTACCCGTTTGGAATAACTATTTACTTTAAAGAGATGTAGCAGATAACTCCTCCAGGCTCCTATGCCACTTACCAGATAGACTAAACTATGTTTCCCAGGAAGATGCAATGCTCCAATTTTATCTGATGTACCAGAAAGATAAATTATTTGATACACTTGAACAGGATATATTATGTAGTTGTCCCCCATCCCAATTATGTGATTCACTTTGACAGGGCACAGATTTTAAGAAAGAAAAGAGACTTTTGAAACTCGTGGTTTAAAGCAAGTAGAAGATATTTGTGTGGCTATAAATCGTATCATCAAGGATAAGATTGGAAGTTTAAAATTAATTGATTTTCAAATATAATTTATCATTCTTTATGGAAGGACTAAAAACAAAGGTTCAGCACATAAATTGGGGCAGACGGATCATAATCGGTTCTTCTGAATTGCACTAATGACAAGTTTTTGAAGGAGGATTGATGCAGCAACAACTGTTAAGCCCATCTTGGTCCATTAAACTTAGAAATGCAAAGTAAGAGAGACTTATAGTCAAACTGGAAGACATTTGGGCTAAATATGGCTTGTCAAAAGGAAAATTTAATTAAAAAGTTTTAGTAACATTTAAGCATGAAGAAGTTCAGCAGGAGAGAAAATGAATGGAAGAACAGTACAGGCATTAAACAAAATATACAGATGAATGGTAAATCCCTCCTTAACAATGAATCAAGACAGCATAAATAAATGTCCACGGATATTCATAATATAAAGATCTTATAAGATCAACCCTGAGTCCCTGACTGCGTTAAACCTGTTTTCAGATCCCCAACAGAAAAACCTTTGCATTTATATAATAGGGAGGAATAAATGGCTTTGGGGATGTTACATGGATAATAATGACATCTGTAGGAAGCTGATTATTGCTATATATTGTGAGAAGGATGAGTGTAGCCACTATAGATGAATGCTAAAGGGAGACTCTGGAAGGTAAAGATACATTTTGTCTCAGGTAAAAGCTGTTATAGTATACTGTTGAAGAAGATAGGTCATACGGATAATATTTGGCCTAGGAAGATAATTTGGAAAACAAAAGCTCCAATTATCGTTAGCTTGTTCAGGTGGACTGCAATCTGGCGAGTATGTCTAACTCAAAACTATTTACAGAAGAGGGGGTTTTCTTTGTGCAGTAGATGCTACTTGTGTTAAGAAGACCTGGAAACTGCCGCATTTTATTTGTGTCAGGAGCTTATTATGATGCTGGACATCTCAAGGGGTACCCAGAGAGTGAAGCAGATATGGTAGATCACCCCACTGTGCATCTTCTGAACCTTATGGCTGGAGAGAAACAAAGCATGAAGGCCATCAAACTCACATCTCTAGAGCCGGAATTAAATGTTTGCATGATCTGTTTTATTGGTGTAAAAGCAATTTATTAGTTGGTCTAGACCAATACGTGGATTTTCTAGAGTTGTTAGGAAGAATAGAGTAGCAACTTGTATGTTTGGTCATTGTATGAGTCATGTTTTCTTTTATACCAACTAGGTACACTTCCAATAAAACTTTACCTTATAAAAATAATAGTGAGGAAATAATGTAATAATTATTATCAGATGGATGCAACAAATAATTCCTCATTGCTAAATATCCAACACATATAATGAAGGGAAGAAGCCCATGTGTCTGGAGCTATGCCACTGAAGAATCATTAACATTTGGGGATTACAAAAAATAATGAATTCTCGGTGAGTAAGTAGAGAATACCTAGGGCAGGAGACAACTCTCTCAAAGAAATTAGGCAAATAGCCCCCTAACTTCAAAGGACAGGGTGCCTACTCACAATCATATCACAGTGACCAGGCTTGGACTACTTTTTACCAAAACTACACATCCACTCAAATTCCTAAGACCGTGTATGAGAAGGGATGAAGCCCACACAGTGCTCAAAGAACAAATAAGTTGGTGACTTGATGATAGGG